CATACTGCCTGTCTGTTGCGTGCTACCTTCAAAAACGTAGTTTTCTTCCTTCCCCCACCCCCTCAAACACAAGGGATTGTTCAGCCCCATATTCTCATATTCTTGCCACTAGGTATGTGCGATCAGAGGACGGTTGCTACCTGCTACCTACTAGCTAAGTAACATCTCGCATTGCATTAGGAGCGCGTTTTAGGAACAAGTACAAATAGAAGTCTACGTGTTAGAGACGGTTTACATAAATGGGATTCTAACAAACATATTTCAAATATGAAATCAATGTATGCGTATGTCACTGTGCTTAAATGTCAGGCATAATATCAATGTGTTTTGTAAGAAATCTTGTAAGCACCTACTCCGGCCGATAACTTATTTGTCAGAGTCTGTGACCTTATTTTGTAAATTTCGATAATCGTTCCTCATTTGAAAATTTACATAATCGATAAATTTTCAGTTAACGCATCCCTCGCGGATAAAGAATTATATTTGTTATCGCTCTGGAAAAGATAAGTGTTAATTCTGTAACACTTGCACAAGATTTAGGCCTGTGTCATCATTGTAAATCGACTCAGTGATGTACCTAGACCTACAAGGGCAGTCCGTCTACTCGCAACCACGTCAACTACACAGCCCACGCATACACAAGAACTTAAATTTTCTAAACATTTACATCATTGGCGGATCAACGTGGTATTAAAAACAAGACTTTACAATAAAGAGGAAAGAACACGTTTATGTCGGTTAATATCCTATTACACCACTTATAGGGCTCTTTTAAGAAAGGAGCAGGGGTTATTTTTGCATTCAAATCAATTTAGTCATAGTGTACCGTACAAGATGTGCGTTTTCCTGCATTTCATTTCTCATTATATTTACAAAACCATCGCCATACACATTTTACATAGCAAAACCCAGCACTGAAATCAGTACATAAAATGTTCGGTAGGTAGGTAGGTAGTACATTTTGATAATAAACAGATTCTTTTATATTCAAATTAAGCCTACATAATTTACAACCGTTCTAAAATTGAAGAGTACTCTTGCACAAACAGATGATAGCTTCCTTCAACAAAAAATCAATACAGAAGGTTATTGACCAAACTCCATTATAAGAAATGCTTTACCCAAGCTTTAAGAGCTAGGCAATGCGCCAGAAAGTCAAAAGCCCTAACTCACACTACCCAATAAGGGGAATTAATTCTCTGTAACGATGGTTTGTTGCCAACATTCCATAAACAATGTAGTTTGTGTAAAAACTGTCTTCTAAATGTGTAAGCCTAATTATAAATCACCAGTTTAAACATAAACAGATTCATTTTTTATAACTTTGGCGTGGCAGTAAATAGGTTATTACAATCTTCAAATTTAAGTATCAATTTGGATTAAGCACTGCATAATCATGTGATAACCATACGACATGAACCAAAGTTCGTATTTTCTTTCTTGGAAGGCTCATATTTAGAGTGTTATCACGTATCATAAGTAATCGATTTCAAAACTGCATGTTTAGAGTTCGTCGCTAATAAATTTTTTAATACAAAGGTTTCGGCTGGAATATAGGCCAATGCCCTTGGTTACCAGGTTCGAAACGGGAATGGTGGAACAAATACGCTGAATGGTAACATTATACTATTCTTCCTCTTAAAATAATGTAGGTTAAAATATTCAATAATGAAAAAATTGTGATAATTTCATTGCAGATAAGCGACTAAGGGTTCTGTGGTTTGAGGATCTCCTACTCAAGAAAAGAAGAATTTTTCTCCTGCAGTGGATGGGACGGTCAGGATTAATCTCCACTATCTTCCGGTGAAAAATAATAGCTTTCCTATAAAATGATTCAAAGATCGTGAAACCATCACAAGTATTCATTTTAAAAGTTCAAACATAGGTGGACTAAAGGCGTTATCTATGGGAAACACAAAAACTTCTGGACCTTTTAATTTGTCTTATGATTTCACAGTCGAATTTCTGACAAAAGACTAAGAACCGATACACATCAATCCACGCTGAAAATAAAGGCAATATGTTAATCGGAAATGTTAACCACCTACAAGACTGCACGGAGTGACAACCCAGAAAACTACAATCGACATTCAGATGAACCTAACGTGAAAGTGCTGTTATTTAAGATGTCCCATAGTAATTACATTCTGACATATTTCATCATCTCATCTGAGCAGAAATGAGTTTCCAGTATTAATTTTAAAAGAACGCGTGGAAAGAAAGATTTGAAGTGGAGGAAAGCCGCGCGCCATATCTGTGGTATGACGAGCTGTGATCGCCCGGGTCTGATCAGACCCCGCCTCACAGACATCGACCGGTTTTGTTGGTTCATTCGGTCTGGCTCGGAGAGCTAAAACCAGCCCTGAAAGAGCGAGGCAGCCAGCCGAGCTCCTGCTTCTACCTCGGGCGTCCCCGGCCAGTGATGGCAGCCATCTTTCCACTTATTTCCCAGCATCCTCCCGAAGTATCCGCCATAGCAACTGGACGCTTCCTTGTTTTAACCTAATTCTTGTTGTGCTCAATTTTATCTGTTTTCTTGAAGCTTTACAAATTATAATTAGTCTAAGTGCATCTAGTTTCATTGTGTGGGATTTGTAAATGATTTTTGCTGTGCTAATGTTATCATTTAATGGCTGCTTTTACTGCTTATTTGTTCTTTCCTTTTTTGCTGATGCTTCATGAATTTGTTGTGCCCAGCCTTTTATGTATGTGCGAATCGCTTTTACGTAAATGTGTGTGTGCGTGTGTGTGTATGATAGCAAATTATATCAACTATAGTCAGTGCGACGTGCAACTTAATTTTATGACGTCAGAATTCGTCCAAACATCCATCATACGTATTTAATTCTGACTCCAATGTAGGTCTGTGTTTGGCCAGACTTGAGAAAATATACTTATCCAAAATATGAGACTAATATATTAACCTTGTGCTGAAGAAATTAATTTTCAATTTTAGAATTATTTAAATTAACATGCAGTTTCGTCTCATGTGCACATTGATGGTAAGGAAGAGACATTTCTTTAAAAATATCTAGACCAACAATTGCAAGTAGAAAGTAGCTTGTACCTTGAGTGAAATTTAAAACTTGCCGTTTGTTATAAAGTTGTGTGCTATGCATAAAGAGTAGTTTCAGTCAGTCTACTTCATGTAGTAATAGAAGTGTTTTAGAGAAATAGATTCTTATATGTATGTTGCTTCTTCACAACATTTTTTGGCCACAATTATCTAATATGAAAATTTATTGTTAATAACTTCAAGTCTACGGAAGGAATAGGAGTATATTTTAACAATTCAGTTGATTGAATGAATCTCATAACAATTAAAGTCTATGCTGTTGACTTCTTGATGCTTAGTAACTAACATTTATTCCTTTTCTGCTTAATTTTGAGGCAGATTAACTAACGAATGAGTTTTATTTCCCCTCCCACTTACTATCAAAATAAAGGATTATCATGAGAAATAGAACAACCATTCTTAACATACCAAAGTAATTTTTACTAAATTTTCATGGCTTGTGTCAATGAAAAATAATTTTCTTTTAACCAAAATTATCCCCTCATTACTGTATCTAAACTATCTTGTCCACCCCGGCGCTACTAAAATTAGAATCAACGTTGTTTGCATTCATTATAATACTATGACTGTGGGAATAATCTATTTACTGTGTGAACATTTTGTCATAATAGTTTCGTTTTTGGCACACAAATAATTTAGCATTATGGTCCATTCGAAGAAATAGTATTATTATTGAAATCCAGTGCCTTTATATTTGGCCTAACTATGTACGCCTACGGACGAGAGGGCTTAAAATTACTGAATTACGAATTTCATTAGATATAAATTGCTGGCAATTTCGCTTTCGCCAAGTATTTTTACTTCACGATAGACACGGTGTAATATCACAAATATTTACGAATCAAACAATATCCATAACCAGTAGTGTGTAAATGCAATGGGTTAGGCTATAGAAACTGATGACCACCCGATAATAATTCAGATATATTCTGTTCCTCGAATTCTCGGTAAATTATGGTCTTCATGTGGGCTCCTTTACGGAGTTTCTTGTTGAGTAACAACAAATATTGTATGGGGTATACGACTATGTTAGTATATTTTAAGAGAAATTTAATTCACTATTATGTGAAAACTAAAATAAAATCCTCCACTGAAAATCACAAAATTTTTCTTGTCTTACATTAGTTTCGTACATGATGTTAAGTTTTAGTTTGCGCATACAAAATTAGGCCTTTAAAGCCTACCAGAAATGATTATATATAACCTGCTTTAAAATAAATAGTTCTTACATTCTCCCAAAAAATATATCTATGTTTCACATGCTTCTCAGAAAATTACAATGATTATTTACTTAAACAGAATCAACTTACTGATCTGTGCAATGGATACGAGTTGCCTTTTCTCTGAGTTTATAAATTAATTTGGATTTATTCTCGTACTGACACGTGACTGTTATGACTACTGACTTAAGTCAGAACAATGTAAGAAAGCTCACAAATCGCATAACACAGATAAGAAATAAAATAATAATAATCATATCAGAGGGCTGGAAACTGTAAAATACGTAAAGTCTCGTCTAGGACAAAAGAGGTGATAATGATGAGTGTTATTTTTATACGGTAGGCTTAGGCTATAGGCGATCCTAGTCAAAGAGAGGATGCCCTTAATGTTAAAACATTATTCACACTCAATCCTGCATACTCTGAAATACTAGAACTTCCTCGTAGATATAACTCGATATTATTGGCGTAAAGTACTATATAAGCCTAATTATTTATATTATATATCAATATGGGTCCAACTTTAGTATGCCTGTACCGATATTGTGATTTCCATATTAGTTAATCTTTGCTCTTAACAGTCAATGAATGACTACTTTGTACAATTCGTATAGGACTACAGCCTAACTTAATCAAAACAAGAGATAAGCTCATACTGTCGATTAACATTATTTGTAATCTTCACCTCATATTATAAGGGTAATAAAGTTAAGGGCGAGATGGGTGGAGCATGAAGCATGCATGAAACAGTCGTGAGCAGGAATAAGAAATTTGTGTGAGAAAACGTAAAGAGAAGAGACCATTTTGAATATGATGACTGACTGATTTTATAAAAGTAATCTGAAAATAAGTGAGGGGGAATTGGACTGGTTTCATCTGGCTCTGGATGGATTCCATTGCCAGATTCTTGAAAAACAAACACAGTTCTGGTAATGAACACCTTTTTCATAAAATATTAAACATCTTTATTAGACGATTGTCTATTAGTTCTTCAAAAATGACTCTTTTAAATGTGATTAATTATGGCGACATTCTGAATAGACGAATATACTTGGATTTAAAGAAACTTTCGAATTTCTGTAGGTTTAACCTGCTCATGGCATTGTCCTGACTTTGGCCAGATCGTATGATCAAACTGGAGTCAATATCTTTCACATCCATGTAATACTTAGGCCTATTTGAACAGAACCTAACAGTGTCAACATCGTAAACCCCTTTTTCCCGGACGCCCGGGTATGATTCTGAGGCAATTAAATTTCCTTATTACAGTGTTTATATAATACAGAGAGTATGTTTAATATGTGTTACCAATTTAACAGGAACCAAAAATGTTTATTTGTATTCTGCAAGTTTAATTTTCGGCAGAGATTGGCCTGTAAGTGCCCGTTTTCGAAATCCCAGTTTCAATCATGTTCATCGAGTCTGGAATGTCGTGTGGTTTTCTTAGCTCGTGATGACAAGGCTTTTAAAACTTATTTACAAATTCTACGTGTTATGATTCTTTCTCTTTAGCACTGCGTGGTGAAGGCTGTGGGGTGCAGCCACAGCTGGGAATAACATACGCCCGAAACGTAAAGATAATTAATAACCCGATCTCTCTAGACGAGAGGAAGGAGAATCTCCTTTGACGACATACTGAACATATTTTATCACCATCAACAACACACAAAATATAAAAGGCATGTGCGCCCTGAAGCGTCATATACAGATCTGAACAGAATCTATTCACGAAAGTTACACCGACTGAAATCCATTTTAAGTACAATCAGAATTATCACTTGTTACAAAGGTAGTGTATGTAACGCGTTAACCTTGCAGCAATGAGACTTACATGTATTTTAAAAGTCGGTATGTCTCAACGAATACAGTCCTAAATCGGGATTTTCGTGGGGTCTTTTAGGTTCAGACAAATTTCTATGTGGTATTCATAAAAGAGGAAGGTTCTTGATTTCGGAATTTATTAACATCAACAATAATCTTGTAGATGAATTGTGTAGTATGATATGATTATTACAGATCCAATTTGAGTAAAAATTTAGTGCACAACAGCAGGCCTATAATCCGGTAAGCCATAATTAGGCCCTAAGTTTTAACACTATACTTCATAATAAATTGTAATGGCAGACCTCAAATACCTATCCTATTTGTCTTGTTTAGCCCTTTAACTAGATGGATTGCGGGGTGAGAAGAGATAAGTAAGGAAATAGGCTAAGCCCAACAGGAATGGTTTATGTTCTCGACAACCGACGCCTTAGCTAGGATTTGTAAGATGCTGTTCTATCTATACACACTTCAGATACTTTTAGTTTATAGAAACAGAGACTGATGGCGAAGGAACAAGGAAACTCTGTTTAAAGATTGAAGTAAGAAAAAAAATTGAAAGGATGGCGTGTAGAAAAGACGAATGATAAAATGCAGGACGTTTCCACACGAACTTTAAACATGGCAGTTCTGTTGAATGCAATGGCCATGCCAGACACCAACTAACACTTTGGCGCCTACAGATTTAAGGTTCTAAATTTGAACACTGTCACTGGACTAACTTATGCTATTTTGAAATAAATGCTTAACGGAAACCAGTCGCGAGGCTCAAAATAACTGCCATTAAATGAGAGTCAAAATTCAGTCTGTTTCCGTTACAAAATATCCGATCTTCCTTGAACTGCTAAAATATGCCGAATCATTGTTCATTTTGGTCTACTCTAACCTTATCACAAAAATAAATAGAACTATCTCTTACCTTACTCGTGTTAGGGTACGTGAACTAGGGCAGAAAATGAACCTTGTAGTTTTGTAGATAGTTTACCAATGTTCTGGATTAACATTTCGCCTGAATCTTCAGTGTATAACTCAGAATCATGGAAAGTTCGGCATAAACATTTCTGAAAGCACACAAATCTGGAAAGCCTCGTCATAAGAAACACACGATTTCTATGATGTTGGAAAGACACAAAGAAGCCAAATGTAGCCATTACTTTACACATAAAATGTACCTAGCCGCAGTGTAGACCTACTGCAGCTGTGGGAATACGAACAGTAATGCATTAATCTTGATTTATAAATGTAAGTCCCTGTCAAACGACACAGTTATGTACGACTACAAAAATGCTAAACTTTTCACTTCGAAGTAAACGAACAATTAATTTATTGTAAGAAAATCAGAAGCTCTTACATAATAACACGAAGTTCGACGCAAGCCTCCGGAATCTAAAAGTAGAGTAACACTTTAAAAATAAAAGATTAAACTGTTAGAGGGTTAAAAAAAAGTCACCCTCCATGGCAGAAAAACTCAGTGAGTTGAACTTAAAGACAAAACTGAAATATTACACTGTTCAGAGATGGATGAAAACGGAAATCGACTGCTTTTGCAGCTGTTATCCTAAAAGTTTTTTGTGAAAAATTAGAAAGCTTTTCTCTCTCACTGTCTGTGTTGGGGGAGGATTGTGACAAGGGGTGACTTGTGGCAGTCTGCACAGAGTGGAATGTTTTTATGTAAAAAAAGAAGAGAAAGTTTGGGTGCATTGTAGTTACTAAAAATTTAGAGAAAGTTCCTAGTAAAAAGCATAGTACTTGAAAGGATGGTTCAAACAGCCACGTGAATATGTCTGTAGACTTCTTTCTGTTAACATGACATCTAGGGATGCCATCGCCGACTATGAACGATGCTTAACGTTACTTCTGTGCTTTCTTCAGGTTAATTTGGGTAGGACCAAAAGACTAGTGCGCCTAAAACAATGAGTGTCAAAATGTGACAGATGCCGAACGACAGCTCAGAAGAGATCTTCGCGAATAAGGGAAGAGACGAATTTTGGAACCGAGCTGTTTTCTTAGGTAAGTGAAACAGTTCACTGAATTACTTAAGATCTTAGACAATACTACCCACAGTACTTCAGCGATGAAGCCATTGAACTATATTTCAAGTTGTCGTGTTCATGCACTGTAAATTTTGAAATGAATAGACACCGGTAACATTCAAAATAAAATTAATTTAATACATTAATGTAATCTATATTAAATACCTCTATTCTTGCGAATGCCATGATGATTGATATTACAAATTCAGCCTATAATAGGCCCAATAACGATAGCAACTTTAGATTTAATAATATAATATTGTATGACAAAAAATAAAAGATTTGTTCATGAAGTAGGCTCACAATTGTACATTAGGCTTAACGTATGTGCTTTGATTTAATTGATCGTTCAGATTTTTCTTAAGAGATAATTCCTTCCCGATCAATTCATCCTATATGGCTGTGTGCTCAGATATTTGATACCAAAATTCTTACAACTAATTATTGTGCTTACATCTTCCAAAACACATCGGCTTGATAACTTAATGACTTACTTTCAGTCAAGTCCAGATATACAGAAATACTGAATGTAACACACAATTGTTAGAAACCATTAGAGATGCATTCATAAATTACTGCTCATAAGCAAGGGCAGTTTGATAAGGAATCTGCATTATTAACAATAAAATACATAAACATGAACCAATATATTCATAATGTATTTTAAAACAGATCTTTAGGCCTAATAACCAAATTACAAGGACAACTGCAGGAAGTGAAGACTTTATTTTGAATTTAATTGTAAAATTGTTAATAAGGTTATTTTAAACAAACTATCTTAAAATATAATTTTGACATAGCCTTAGGCTGTAAACAATCCATAGCCTGTGGGAGCAACTCTTATGATTTCGTGACCTCACAACAAAATATAGGCCTAGAGATTTTAATATAAATTTATAGGTTTTTGTAACTTTAGCCAAATACGTACACTCCTACACTTTACAAATTTTCGAAAACGTAATTATGCCTACTAAAGACTAGCAGGATACCTACAGAGTATTCTATAGAGGCCCAACCTATGTTTCAGTTTTCCTGTTTTCATTACGTGAATCTGTATCTATGCTGTTGTCTCTACAACCAGTTTCCAACAAACAAATAATTCAGCAAAGAACAGAACAACGATTCATGCATTTTTGTGATAGATGACAGTGTAAAAATTGTAGGCTTGCATTATTCAGGAATTTTCTCGTTATGTAGAAGACATTTGCGTGTTTTACATCGCCTGCAGTCTATTGCAACGCTTATGCGGGCGATACATTCGCTAAAGCTTATGTAGTAGCATAGGCCCCATGTAGGAGGAAATATGCATTTCTATATCAGCTTTATCGCACAGAATCAGAACTTGAAATCTATAAAGATAGAGACCGGAAATTCTGTGTATTTCGGTGTGGATTACAACATCCTCGTCTTGTTTATTCAATCTTTGTATTCAAAGGGCAATTGTTAACCGCTTCATTCCGTCTTAATAATGTATTATTTATAATTCACTGTTGTAAACGTAAGCCTTTGCAGTTTCTGGGATCCTCGATTACAAAATGACCAAGACAAATTGGGCCTATGCCGGTTGTTATGCTGGGTGTCTTCCTTAAATAAATAAAATGAATGTTTTAAGTGGAATATATGCCTATCTTATAACATTCTTAAATATTTATTCCAGAAGATAATGCGAAATTCGAGCACAAAATGCTTCTAGAAAGACAGAAGTTTTAAACCCACACATTTCTTTTATTTGTGAAAGTTTCATAAGCGATCCTTCCATATTGAAATTGGTGTCTCAGAAATAATTGAATATCTAAATATCTAATAGAAGACAGTGAAAATCAGTACCTTGTAAATAAAAACATAGGGATTGTAGCGAACACCATTTGCGAGTCCCTGGAAATCCAACCGCGTTTGACGGCTGGTGACTGGGACGCCGGCCGATAACAAACTCCTGCCAGCCCGCTCGAACTGGGTGGAGCTCCGCCTACGAGTCGTCATAGTACGCCATTCGAACGCACCCGACCGCCCGCTGCAGTGCAGGCAACCAACCGGTGGTTTGTTTCCGGCCTGCGCGAACATGGCGAACCGCAGCGCGTTTCTTCACCATAATAAGTGACACAGGACGTCTAAATTGAAATTATTCATTTATATTTCTGCATTTAGAGGACTTTCGGTATTAAGAATTTTGGAATTTACGAAACTGAACATCGACTCATCAAAAATTACTTCTCTACTCTGGGAATGTAAGAATTTTTAATTTATGTTTCGGATAGTGCACCTTTGTACCATGACATAATATGCACGCTGGTTATAATTAGTATTTGGGGAACATTTTTGTTTTACATGTTAACGCAAGCTGTGATAATTTTTTACTGTTACGTTATTCTTACAATTAAAGTACTGGTATGAGAAAAAAATATGTTATGCACAACTGTTATGGAAAATCAGTTTTTAATGTTATTGCTGAAATTATGTAAAATATTTATTTGATTTAAACTAGAAAGTCAAAGATAAGATAATAAGTCTAATATATTTCATTAGATGCTTTAACAGACATATTAATCCCGCACTCCTTACATCTCCCTCGCTGTCATGGTTGATAAATTTTTACCCCTCCACTACGAATTTTCATAATTTTATCGTAATATAAAAATTTTCTGTATAAAAAAGTCCATGGCCGGTAAACGCTCACTGCCGCGACAATGCTAATGTTGAAACCCAGGCCTGTGGCCTAAAAATATATGTAAACATTTGTTATTATCAGATGAAAGAAACAGGTCAGAATCTGTAAGTATGTCTATTTAAGAGGCAAAGACAGAGACAGAGGACAAAGCAACTGCTATTACACTAAATACAGCGCAGAAATAACCTGTTTTTCAACATGGAATTTCATGATTACCTGTACATTTCACCCAGTATTTTGACCTAGTGAAATCACGGAGGCAAACAGTGTAAGCCTATGGGATGGACCTATTGTTCAGATGGAAGCTATAAAAAATAAATACAGAATTTTGTAAACAAACCTCTGGTTCTGATAGTACTCCGTTTATGTGATACAGGTACCATCTGTTAAGATAAATAAGAAACCGGGCGAAGTTAACCGGAGTTTTTCAAATCTCAGCAACCAACAAGTGAATTCTGAATCGAACTTTTGTTGAGCTGTCCCTCTCTCCCTCCTGCTTCTTCCTATCCTAATAAATTATTACCTCTCATCTAGACTTATTTGCGTTTCGTCCCAACACGAAACCATCGGTGTATGTCTGTCTGAGCGTTTGGGTCCAATCGCCTTTCTGTTTATTTTTCAGCACGTGTTAGATCCCATGAACTCCCTGATGGTTACATCTCCGATATATACAATTTGCTGCGTCTGTGTGAGAGGCAGTTCGAACAGATCCAAGTCAGCAACGCAAAGTGAGTAGCAATATCTAGAGGCACATATTCAACAAATTTGCCAGTTTCATGCTTCGGTACAGAACTGGCGTTCTCCGAAATAATGATTACGAATGCAGTTGCCCATTTTGTAATTAATACTTTGAGTCGGGTTACTTCTGCAAAGTAGTCCTGAATCTCATTACTGAAATTTTAATCAGTTCTTAAGCCACAAACACAGCCTAGTTATCTCCTGCTGTAGGCTATTTATAGATCAATTAGCAGGCTCACGCTACGGTAAATGCATGTCTTTTGAGTTGTTGCGCCGTGTAGTCCGGTAGAAGTTTACAGAAGTCCTTGCTGCCTCCATCATCAAGGCGAAGTGCCATGTTTACAATAGGAGAAGCAGGCGTTTTCCTTGACACGAGGCTCGTAGCATGTACATCCGCCATTAATGTCCGTCCGTCCGTAGGCCTATGTATGTAACAAGTGGAGAACGGTAAGACGGATTTTCATGAAATCACCGCTGTAAACATTGTTCAGCAATAATCACCTAGCTTAACATTTATGTAAGAATGACGTAAGGCGTGATGACCTCGCATCACATCATAGTGATATTTTGGAATGTCGGTTTACTCCAAAGTGTAGGACTAGATTTTTCCAACCTTGCTGTTATTCATACTGATACCGATAAATAACTAATTCTGGAATTATCACATAAAGCTTTGAAACACGTGACCCCGCCATGAAAAGATAGCACAGGGAAACAAGGAAAAAAATAATAGCGCGGCTTAAACTGAACGCTACCAGCGGATCGACACACACAGAGATTGTTAATTAAAATTGTAATTAGTTTTGTATGTGCCATAGCCCTAGGTTTATGGCAGTGATTTAAAATGAATTAAATCAAGCTCTTTTAATCTTTTTCGTGTAATCTGTATCTACAGGCCAAATCTATAATATACCCATGAACTGCAATTTTTGCTGAAAACAGAAATAAGTTAGAGTATGGCAGTCACCTGGATCGTATTGTGTGTGGTCTGGTACAAGGTTACCGACGTTTCATAGGTAACTAGGGGCGATAATTCGTTTTCCTGATGATGGAGGCAACAATTACCTAAACTTCTACCAGTCTACAACGCAACGCATAAGACAGTCATCTTCATTCTTGTTGTCGTGATAAACTTAAATGTTACTCAGAAATACGAATAATTAGTGGCGGCCTATTACACAAAGCACTCAAAACAGTTAACTAGCAAATAAGAAGTCTTCGGGCTTTCGTGGCGGTTTGTAGCTAATTCTCATTCCATAACTCTTCCTTCCGAAGGACACAGACATCCGCATTATCAGACATGTCGGAATATCAGCCCACAAAACATGGTATTATCACCCAGAACTGGGCAGCCTTACAAAATAATGTTACAAACATTTCTATCGCATTGTTATGAACAGGGGACCTTGATTGGCAATATAACAACATAATTCGGTTACATATTATTCATAATTTGTAAAAGATAGACCTACATCTACTAGATACACGGTAAGGTTTCAAACATTTGAACTGAATTGTGGGTATAAGATTGAATTGATTGTGCTGATGAAAAATACAAAACTTGGACAATTTAAACATTTTTTTACAAACAGTAAGTCATATTCTGTAGCAGTAGGTACCCGCAGCAAATTTCGTTCAAAGGTATCGAAGGTCACATTTACTTACGATACCACTGAAGCAAGATACGGTTTCCTGGTTGGTGTCTGTGAGTTGTTAATTTCACGAGGGACCCGAAAAGGAAATGAACACAACAGACTGGCACAAGCTCACGAACGGTTCATCTGTTCTACAATTAGATTAAATCATGGCCAGTATAATTAGTTGCATTCGTTATTAATGGACCTCCCCTGCACATAGAATGCAGCATCTGTACTAGAACAGAGAAGTAAAAGACAAAGACGGGAAACAGAAGTTGTGCATGCAGCTATAAAGCAAAAGTCTGCAGGCCACACTCGTTGCGAGCTTTACGACTCATGAGCCAAACTTCCTCTGTCTTATTTCCACTCTCTCAAACATCTAGCCGTCCCACTCTGAAACAGCTGCTTGCTTCTGAAACTCTTTTACCTACCGTAGTAAAAATCTGGGCAGCAGAAGGAGAGGTGGTGGTTAGAAATTGCCATAAACCTTCCTCGAATCGGTAGCTTGTGGGAACATTTAATTTGGGTGAGATCTACCCAACCATAGAAGACGTCACGTTAGGCCTATACAGGCGAAAAGTAGGGGGGAAGACGCACATGAAAATCAGTGATGATTTCGTTGAATTGTATTTTATACTTCACCTCAACGATATTTCAAAAAGATGGAAAGTGTTATGGCAGGAATTACCATAAAACACAGAAATGTTATCGAAACAGATAAAACATGTATGGCACAGTCCACCGTGCATGCTGTCCTAAGTTCTCAATTCTTAATATCGTGGCCGATTTTCTGTAAGTCTAAGAATAAATCAATGTAAAACAGTAACGCCCAATGAATTCCGAGTGCCAAAATAAAGGCTACGTTAGGTACGCGGTTAATTCTGTTTAACTACGGTTATCATAATGGCTTGAATCTGTACAGTTCTGAGACACTACTGGTAACAATAATATCATCATCACCGTCATGAATTAATCTTTACTGGTTCCTTCCGGTTGCAGGAATTAAAACTGCTCCATCTTTCTGTGGAACATTCACAGCGTTTTCTAGCATGTACTAGCAGAGTAGTAAATGGACTACGTATTGGCTTTATTTCCTAAAGCAATGAAAATTATAATAGTATCTCTTCATCAAAGTAACGGCAAGGGTTATTTGTTCCCATTCAGTCCTCTCAATTAATTTATCTACCTTAGACTCAAATAATCTCATTAGCAGGGCCACTTTGCTTTCCGAATACATTTTCTTTTCAAAATAACAGGAATACGATCAGTCTCATGCACGGTTTTCTGTTTGGCTATTTGAAAAGAACGCCGTAAAACAAAGCTCCTGTAGTCTTGTAGTGTACCCAACGTCGAAGGATCATACTGCCTTCATTTTCAGGGAGTCGCAACTCATAACATAATGCCTCTGTGAAAATTTGAAACCTCATAATGCTACGACTGTTAACTGGTATCACCAAACAATGAGGAAAATTCTGTTTGAAGCCACAAGTGATACGAAAGCTTAGACTATTAATAATATCCTATATAGCCTCATTGATACTCAGTAACGTTTGCCACAAGACATTTTATACATTCCAAACCACATTCTCACCACAAATAAAATCCCGGTACAAAGAAGCAATGCGCGTAGTTTTAGATACGATAAAATGTACGCCTATATTCAAAGTAGGGGAATCGGAAATGTAGGACGGATACATAAAACATCATGGAACGAAGGTTGTTAACCACTCAAGATTAATTCCATTATGGATCATAAATAAAATGCTGACGTTTACTGTATGTTAATGCACCATTTAAGTTTAATCGAAACAAAGTAAATTGAGCTACAGCTTCGAAATATGCAGCCCGAGATACAATGTCACGCAAGTGGTGGGTTTGCAGGGGTCGTCACACTTTCGATTTACGACTACCTAGAAATGTGCTCTGTAACCACGTAAATTCAGAGCTTGCAGAATCGTAGAGTACATGACGCTGTTACGCGTGTTATCATGTTGAACCGCGAGAACGCACCCTCAGAGAGGACAGCGTGACTCCACACCAGAGACATTCAATGAAACAACTACAGTTGTCCGTTTTAAACAATAATTGGTCATAAATGGTATAACAATGTAACAAGTACAATGGGAATGGTGTTCTTGTGGCACTCTAAAACAGTATAAAAATCAAGTAGACCTTTTGCGTTTATTTGTGTGTACATAGAAGTCTAAAACGCATGGGATGTCCAACTTTAAGCAAGAATTTATTTAAAATACAACTAAGAGAATTTTAAATCATAAACAGAACGATGCACAATGGATGGATCAATACAAGTTTCCTTATTACTTTCTCGTAGACTTACACTATAGAAATGTTACAACTTTTAACCATATCCCCTTTAGAGCACCACCAAAAAATGCTCCAAACACATATTCCAAACCACGATTATTTAACTCCTGGGGCTTTACCGGCTAGACAATTTACGTTGTTTATATTTTACAAGGCTTCACAAAGTTAAATACGGTCCCTTTTTTTCAAATCCTTCACATTAGTTTTTTCTCGTATAAGCTTACAAACTCTTGTCCGAAACTGTATAGACCTACTGGCCCTGTTCGTGGGCTGCAGACAAATACAATTTCAGAGTGCATTCTTAATTTTCAGCTGTATTACCTAACGCCTCGGTCGAGTGGTTAGCACTCCTTACTTGGGTGTGACCCGATTCAAGTTTTGGCCTGGAAACCGATTCTTCTGTCTGAAATTTTTTCGTGGTTTCCCACAGTCGCACAATACAAATGACGGAAAAACTTTAAATTAATCCACAACTTCATAATTCCGTATTCTATCCAATTCATTACTCGTTAGTCATCCGTTCATTCAACGCTGTATAGTCAGAGCTACTAGCAGTGTCGTTACGTAAACCATAAATAAATAAATAAATATCCTATATCATAATTACTCCAAATTCATTTTGTAAACTCCAGACCCGAGCATCGTATTTTATAACATTTCGGTACAAAACCCGCCCGCCTGCGTTAATACTATGCGGTTTCTCAGTTATTTCAAAGTAATGAATTCAGCGCGTAGTAGCTACCTCATTTTATATAGACCGACTCCGATTACGAGATCATTCTTGCAACAGGCTTATTGTTTACCAATGAGGTTCTTCAATGACAAACGACACAATATGGTCACCGTGCGTCTCGACCTAAACAGAACTTTGCGAGGTTGTACCAGCAATGAATAATTTTAATTTCAAAAGTATAATGTAGAAGCCACAAAAGTCTTGCGTAACACAATATCGGTGATGAAGTTCGTGATAATGAACGGTTAATATTTTATCATGAGTTGTTCACAAATTAGTTTATTGAACACATTTG